TCGCCATCCTCTTTTCTTTTTCCACTCATGTCCAAGATGGTTGTTCTAAATTTGCACAGTCCATCTTGAGGGGGAGTATTACAGCTCAACTCCAGCTCAATCCAACTCCAAGTCATTTCTACAACTCACGACTTGCAAATAACAGAGTTAACTATTTTTTGGCCCCAATTGTATAGATTGTATAGATATAAGTTTGTTAGTTAGATAGTTAGTCTATTAATTGGTTAGTTAGACTTTCTTTATATTTATATGAACGAGTTGTATCACTTCTTTCTCAATTAATACAGAATACATAATTTTCTTTCTTCTTTTCAATTCTCCCTTCATCTTCAATAATGTAGGTTTCTGATGGAACACTTGAATCAGTAGGAGAGAAGTTGCCATTTCTGAAAAAGGATATGGGGAAACCTGATTCTCTTGGTGATCTGTCAAGGAGCTTGGTTTTCACCAACAATGAATATGCTCCTCCTAGTTCTTGAGATCAATCAAACAAAATTTTGGAAAAAATATCAAATTCATATAATTCAAAACATTAAATTCCTAGATATCAACATGAATGTACTTTCTCAATAGCTTTCAAATGTTACTGATCATTGAGGGGGGTTGGGCCAGAAGCACATGAAGAATACAAGAACGAGGGGTTCTTGGTGTTCTACGGGAGATAGATAATTCCAGAAGATCGGGAGCAGTTGTGAGTGACGCACGTTCCAACGGGTCTTGAGATTTCATGAATTAGATAAGCGAGTCTAGTGGGTTTTTTAGGTTGGATCATACTGTAAGTTCTTATTATCTATAGTGAAAACTACTGGCTTGATCCAAGAATTTTTACCCAGTTAAGGGTTTTCTCCATTATCAAATCTTGTGTTTTTACTCCTTTAATTATTTATTACGGCAATTCAACATAGGATAACTTGACTGATTGACTAAACATCTAGAACAATTAAAAAGTGACTTGTTGCTTTTAAATGATAAATTTAATTCCGCTTTATTCTCCTATTAGTTGATTTTAGAGTTGAACTAGTAACTTTCATAAATTCTAATAAATTTTGTGAATTCTAGTCTTTACCGCTGTAGTAAGCACAAACAACGCCCAATGCAAAACCAAAAGCCACCATGAATATCCCGAGCAGAAAGAAGTTGAATGGATGCTTCTGCCGATAAAAATACAAAGGACACAAAACTGCAACCAGAAAGAAATTTTAAATCATATACAAAACTCAGTATAAATCCCAAACAATATTAACTTTTCATATTTTTTTTATTAACATACCAATAAGAGGAATTAAAGCGATGACAATGTATATTGCCAGGAAAATTCGAGTGGTGGAAAAGAAGGCAGCAATGGGATGAATAGTTACCACAACACAAGCAACAGCAATGGTAACAAGCAATTGAACAATAATTATCAAATAAACTTTTCGAATAAAAGCCCACTGGAGCTCCGGGCTTTCCTGCATTAATGGGTACACCAGCCTGGTTCCGGCTTCCATGTCATGTTTTCAGGATGTTTGGTTCTACATTTTATCAACTGTTCTCCATTAAATTATTTATTTTAGGGTCCGTTTGATTGCAAATGTGGAATATTGGTGTAAAAAAAATATTTTACAGAGAATTGATTTGCCTAAAAATTATTTTACTGGGAATTATAATTAATTGTGTTTGATTTGTATAATTTTTCATGGAAAATGTTGAAAGTTTGGTATCCGTTTGGCTTCGTTTTTTTATGGAAATTGTCAATTAAAGTGATAATATTTTTTACCATTGGGTCTAGAATTTGTTCCAATTGCCAAAAAAATAACCATATCGAATACCATTTGTTTGGCTTTGTTTTGCATGGAAATTATCAATAAAAGTGAAATTTTTTTTTATCATTGTGTCTAGAATTTTTTCCAATTGCTAAAAAAAAAAAATGGAAAATATTTACCCACCAAAACATCAAGAATTTATTTTCCAAAAAAATGTGGAAAATTTGAAAAGTTGGAAAATATTTTCCTGGAAAGTTTTGCCTATCAAACACTACAAAAGTTGGAAATAGAAATTTTTTTCATTTTCCATGGAAAATGTGTGCTATCAAACGGGGCCTTAAAGTAAAAGATGGAATTGGGTTATTTGATGTTGGTCTCTAAATTTTAGTGAAATTTCAATCAGGTCACCGAACTTTAATTGGTCAAGACGAAATAACTAAATTACAATTTATTTTCAGCATTAGCCACTCGGTTGGATGTTTTTTGCTGGTGGAATTGGTCATTTTGAATGTTTTTCACTTCCAATTGATAATTAAGGTCAATTTTTTGATAAAAGGACTAAAATTTCCTTAATTTTATTTAAATAAATAATAAAATAAGTGTAAAAGAAAAATTAAAAAATATGTGATAAAAAGGAAAAATAACTCATTCCATCTTGAATTGCTTTAATAAATTGTGACATATAAGTAAAATAGAAGGTAGTTATAAAATTGTTCTAGAATGTATACACGTAAGGACTCTGTTAAGATGATGTGGCAAAGAAAAGGAGAGAATCAAATTCAAAATTAGTTTCCAATGCATTCTATAAATTGTTATTTAAGTGTCTTTTATTTTTTTTAAATAATAACAATATTACATTTAAATCTGCATATAAAATATAAATTTTACTAAGTTAGAGGATCATTTGAACAGCTACCCATATTTTAGGAACCATTTGCTCCAATTCTCCTTGCAAAAATACAATTAAATAAATAACTAAATAAGTTGTGTAGCAACTAGTTTTTATGAAAGAAAAGAAAAATTAGAAGATCGTAATGGTTTTCAAAAATATGGGACACAGAATTTGTAGTGCCTTTTCATAATAGAAACATGTATTCCAATTTAGGGGTGTTCTCGATAGAGATTTAATTAATTTTGAAGATTATACATTTTAATTTAAGGAATTTGATAATTTCTTCAAAATTAATAAGAATTTATGTAGAGTTTACAATGTAGTGAAGAAATGATTATTACAACTACAATGTGGAAATATAAACTCTCAAAGTGTAAAACTGAACCAAAAAGACTCAAAACTTCTTCAACACTACTAATGGAGTGTCATATGACGTTGAGCTCAGATCTTTGCTACAACGGATCATGCACCGTCGTCCACGGGAATGACAATGGATATACCGAGAAATAAATCTGTCGGAAGCCACCAAGATTTTCGCCGGAGATATGAGCTTCTCCCACTTGGTTACTTCTCTATATTTTTTTCTCTTTTGTTATGCCAAGTCCAAAATGAAAATGTGAAGAAATCTTATAATTATAGAGCCAAATATTCATTTGAATTCAAATTTAAATTCAAATATTGTACTATGAAAGAGACATGACTAGAATGTGTAATTGACCATAAGATTGGATTTAATCTATGGTCCATAATACAAATCAATTAGCACAATCCTTTCAAAGTTCTCAAAACAAATAATCATGTGCCAAGTGGATGAAATTGATCCACCTCACAATTTCATTAAAAATGGTGAAATTTCAAAAGAATTGTCACGTGAATTATAAATTAAAATCCATTCAAATATCTCGAAATTTCTTTATTAATGAAATTCTTATAAATCTCAATTAAAAATTCCCAAATTTACGAAGACTTTAAAATCCACTAAAATCGAGACACCCCTAAATCTCATCCATTTGGTCACGTGACAAGACCTTTCTAATTATTTGATTGTTACTAAAAGTCATTAACTACATGAATTAATCTGCTCTACCAAGCCTGTAAAAGGCCTGGTAGAGCAAAAGCTCCCACATGACCTCATTAAAAAAACCCCCCAAAATGTTTAAACACCCACCCTCCCACCTCACATTTGCACTGCCAGGCCTTTTATGGGCCTGGAAGTGTAGCACGGTTCTAACTACATTGATGACAATGCAAACATGCAAAGTTCTAGTGTGTCAAGTGCCAATAATACACCAATAATGCCCTACAACACATGATGTGAATGCGTAAAGTATTAAGTTTGGGTATGTTAGTTCTGTTGTCGCCTAAGTTCATAAATCTCGAAATCAAGAAATTTGATAGCCTTACAACATATTCTAAGACCTAGTGATCTGCAAGGGATGCATGATGCGTTCACGTGTCGTGCATTCACTCCAACACCAAGGAAGGACATGCACATATGGTAGGTCAATTGCATCTTTCACAGATTTCGTGAATAAATTTGTAACTCCTTCTCTAGTAGCCTATGAAAGAAGAAAACGCCGACTAAATAGATGCATTTCATACAGGGGAAGGATGAGTTTCTATATGATAACCTTACGCGGTTCAACAGAGTCGCATTAAGAATTAGAGACTTGCAGATGTCCTCGGTCATGCTCCTATGGTTGGCCACGAACCCGTAAAAATGTTCCAAGATTTTCGGAAAAGCCCGACGTATTTGAAGAATAAATATATGGTTCCCAAAATTTTAATTTTTTTGTATTATTTCCACTCCGACTATGTTAGCATGTAGAGCGTGGGCGGTGTGTTGAACGTGGTAGGAGAAAAAGTAAAAAGCTCTTAAATAAGAAAACTAAAGTGCAGTATTCCTCCTCTTTTTCTGAATTTATTTACACTCAAAGAAGCCAAATGATCTTTATTTCTTTTTACAGAATTTATTTACACTCAAGGAAGCCAAATGATCTTTTTCTTTCTTTCTTTCTTTAAAGTGTGATTGGAACTGATCAAATTTTCATCCGACAAGGAAGTTTCTTCATTTTAATTCTCATTTTCTTTGAATCCCACTTTGTAAACAGAATCCTTTTTTGTTTTTTGTCTTTTTTTTTTTTGGCTTTTCCAGGGCTATGAAGTTTAAAGAGTGTAACTCCACGTTATTTCTGCTATAATAGTTATATTTCCTTGAATATGACAAAAATGTGAAAGAGAGAGGAATAATAAAAGTGATTCTGATTCTTAGGCTTGTGTTTATATATATATCCATTTTACTTTCATTCATTTACTCATGCATAGTTGGAGAGGAAAAAAGAGAGAGAGAAAAAAAAGTAGAAATGGAAACTGTCCAGAAACCAATTTCTGAGCAAAGTTTCTCTTCTATTTCTTGGCAGGAGGAAATCAAGAAAAAATTGTTCAGAAATGCCATGAATCGCGAATGGAATGAAGTGATCGAAACATATGCACAACATCCATGGGCTCACAAAGCCAAGATCACCCGATCAGGAGACACTGCGTTACATATAGCCATATCAGACGGCCAAGTGACCATTGTCGAACAACTAATGGAAAAGATTTTGGGAAAAAAGGAAAATGCCTGTGATGTTTTAGAAACTGGCAATGAACTCAAAAATACTCCTCTTCATTTGGCCGCCTCCCTTGGGAATGTAAAGATGTGCAGACTCATTGCTGGTTTCAACTCGACACTAATTGGGGAACGTAATAAGGATGGAGAGACTCCTTTCTTCCAGGCAGTTTTAAACGGCAAGAGGGAAGCTTTTAGTTGCTTACATGACATTTGTGGGACAGACAAAGGCTACTCGTACTGTAAGAAGAAAAATGGAGAGACAATTCTGCATTCTGCCATTTCTGGAGAACATTTTCGTGAGTCAAGCTTCCATAAACAAAGGCCTTGTTTCAAATAAATTTGTGTGCGCATTTAGATTATTTAACAAGGGACGTTCATCTCGTTTTCTTTGTTTTATGGACAGATTTAGCATTTAAAATAATTCAGTTATACCCGAATCTAATTAACGCGGTCACCGAGGATGGAGCAACGCCACTTCATCTTCTGGCATGTAACCCTTCTGCATTCAGAAGTGGAAGTTATATTAGAGGGTTTCGCGGACTTATTACTACTGTAAGTCTCCCTTTTCCTCTCAAAAGAATCATAAACATCGGAATTTTTTCCTGCAAATAACTCAAAATTATATAATTATTTTGAAAGGTATATTTGTCGATGAACGCGAAGACATGGACCCAAAGCACGATTTGTCACAAGGCTCGCAATATGAAACCAAAGCAACGTATCCAGAAAACTATCAAACCTGCATTGGATTTGCTGGTTTAGTGAGCAAAATATTTCGTACGTGAGAAATTGAACCATATATTTGTGTAAGAGTACACCATTTTCTTTTCGTCGTATGTATTGAGTCATTATGTTCTAACCTTTTTTTATTTTAAACAGAAATTCGTCGTAGTAAAAATGAGAACAAGGGGATGACAGATGAAGAAAATCCTAAAGGAAAGCAACCTGATACTAATCATGGGCGTTCACACCTTCCTCCTAATTATGTCACGTGCTTTAATGTCATTAAACTCATATCCAAATCAATGTTGGTTATTCTTGGCTTAGGTAACCTCCTAATTAACGAGTAATCAATACAAAGTTCACAATTGTTGAGGACTTAATGTGTATATTTTCCCTCACTGCGTGACCAGGGTCTCATGACATAGTAAAGCTACGCGAAAAAAAGAAGAGCACATTTGGTCAGTCAAAATCATGGATGAACTTCTTAAACGAGCTTCTACTGAGTATGAAAATAGTGGAGAGAGTCCCCAACATTTTATCGATGAAGAAATTGCTCTCTCAGTTCCTGATGCAGGAGTTATTTCCCAGCCGGTTGATGATCAAACATCCCAAACTAGCGATGGAGTGGATAGAAAAAATGGCACCAATGGAAACGGTAACCAATTGTTGCTTTTTCTTTCTACGAACCACTCCTTGTAAAATCTCATTTATTTAAATTTTGTGGTTAAAATATGGTTAGTCACCGCTATCTTTGCCGATTTTTCATTTAATAATCGAAACCTTTTGTTCCTATTTGTTTCACTTTAGGCATTATGTCTACCTCTATCCACCGAAGTGCATAAAAATTCCGTCCGTGCATTATTTTTATCATCTAACTAGGCAAAAAGATGTCTTGGACATTCATTATTTTCATTCAAACGTATTTTGGGGCCACACAGGTAACAAAAAAAAGATGCAGGAAATTGAAAAGGGGGAGACAGCACTACTTGTTGCCGCAAAGAATGGTGTGGTCGAGATGGTGGAAAAGATTATTAAACTTTTTCCGGTGGCTATAAATGACATGAACACAAGCAAGAAGAACATAGTAGTGTTGGCGGTGGAAAATAGGCAGCCTCGTGTTTACAGGTTTTTACTCGAAAAGACTACAATGAAAGAAACCATTTTTCAAAAGGTAGACGTCCATGGAAATAGTGCTTTGCATCTTGCTGCGAAGCTGGGAGATCGTCGGCCTTGGCTTATACCTGGTTCTGCATTGCAGATGCAATGGGAAATCAAGTGGTACGAGGTATAATTTTTTTTTTTTTGAAGAGTAATGCTATGTCACGAGTTCACACGACAGTGAAACTCACAGTCCATAAATGGCGATCAATTATATTTTTACTACTTTTTTGGGACTCAAAATAGCTATTTGTTTTGATTATAATGCAGTTCGTCAAGAAATCCATGCCATTGCACTTCTTTGTACGTCAAAACGAGGAGAACAAGACCGCAAGGGAGATATTCACTGAAAGTCACAATGAACTCGTCAAGAGTGGCGTCGAATGGCTCTCCAACACCTCCAAGTCATGCTCAGTTGTGGCAGCCCTCATAGCCACAGTCGCTTTTGCCACTTCTACCAACTTTCCGGGCAGCTTCAAGGAAGAAAACAACAAACCCACCTTGGCAAATGAACCTGTATTTACCGCATTTTCCATAGCATCCCTTGTTGCACTCTATTTCTCTGTTACATCGCTAGTCATGTTCCTCGCCATACTCACCTCCAGGTATTATTGAATCATCTAATCTAAAAATTCAAGTCATTACACACTATACATATGCCACCCAAACTTTTATTTAGAGGGTGTTTGGTAGGGATTAAAATTTGATTTTTAGTAGATTGTGATAAAATTTTTGAAATGTGTGGTTGAAAAGTTATGAGACCCATAAAAAATGTAGTTAATATTGATTGTTTGACTTTGATTTAGATTAAAATCAGATTTTAATCATGACCAAACATGAGCTTTTTTTTACTAAGAGTCCAGATGAGATTTGATCTAAATACCTTTGCGTGTGCTGTAATATTATATAAAACCACATCATCTTAAACAAAATAAGTTGTTAGGGAAACAAAACATTTATTTATTAAATTGAGTTTTCGACAGGTACCAAGAAAAAGACTTCGCCAAGGACTTGCCAACAAAACTTTTGGTGGGATTGACGACTCTTTTTGTGTCTATTGCTTCTATTTTGGTATCTTTTTGTGCCGGACACTTTTTTGTGCTTAAAGATGAGCTGAAATATTTCTCATTCCTGGTATACGGCATCACATGCCTGCCGGTGACATTTTTCGCCATAGCACAATTTCCATTATACTTTGATCTTATACGGGCTATAGTTAGGAAGGTGCCTCAACGTAGCTACAAATAGAGTTCTTTGTTGTAAAATTTTAACCTTTTTGAATTGAATAGAATTGAATAATGATATTGGCGAGACCAAGTGTGTGATGTTTTTTACAATTAAAATGGATGAGTGAGTGCCTTTTTTACCATGTATGCCTTCTTTACAATAAAATAAATTAAAATTGAATGACCTCTTGTTCTTTTACGATTTTATCCAAAAAGAAACAGTTGGGTGGTACCACCGTAATTGTAAAATAGTTTGGGGACAGGATAGTAAAAAATGACAGGACAACTAAGTGGCGACCAGGGGTGGTTGTAGTCTGGTTTCCCCCCCAGCTTCCCATTAATCCAGGGACCGAGCTGTGGTGACAAGGAGGGTGTAACACCCTCCCTAATAGACCACACACATTGGGGGTAGGGAGGGTTATTTTTCCTTTTTTTATTTCGCGCGAGTCCCACGTCGGTCCCACACCCTTGTGAGGGTCGGTCACCCAAGTGGGCAACCATTTTCTGGCACTTCAGCTTTGTTCTTAATCTAGAGGTTAAAAATTTATCCCACAGACGCGACACGGCCTTACGTCCCAAACACACACAAAACAGCAGCCCACTCTTCCACTGTTACTCTAGCTAACTCAGCAATAATCGACGACAAAAGTCCCCAATTTTTAAAAAATCTTAAATCATCGATCTTACTACAATTGGGTAAATTGATGTCGCCATGTTACCGGAAGATACTATCCCCAAGTCAACTCTCGATAAGCCGCTTCAGCAGCTCACAGAAGAAGACATTTCTCAGATTACTCGTGAGGCCTGCCGCCGTTACCTCAAGGAGAAAGGTAATGCTTTTGATTGACACCAGACCATAATTTAAGCAAAGAATGAAGGCTGAATTGAAAATAAGAAAAGAATTTAGGAGATATTTGATGATATATGTTTTGACTACGAATTTGTTTGGGTGTAGGGATGAGGAGGCCGTCGTGGAACAAATCGCAGGCGATTCAGCAAGTGATAATGCTCAAGAGACTACTTGAAACGACGACGTCAGATGCTGAAGCTGAGCCTTGCAAAAAGCTCTACCTTCCCCACCCTAATAAAGAGTACGATGATAATCTGCAGCGCGTGGGTACTATTATTAATTTTTTTTGTTATCGTTGTTTACATTAAAAAAGGGATAAAAGATTCTCTGCAGGTTCTGCCTTGAAATTTGCGACACGTGTATTACAAGCTAGTTATCACATTGATTATATGAAGGGACTCTTTGTTAAAGAGCCTAGTCAAACAATGTATTTGGACAAAGGGGATTTTCTCAATGTTTGTTGGTAAAATGGCCACCATTAAAAAATAGAATAAATAAATGGTATAAAAGGTCCAAAATATCCCTATCATCAAAAGACTCATTACTCATCATGGGCGTTCACACCTTCCTCCTAATTATGTCACGTGCTTTAATGTCATTAAACTCATATCCAAATCAATGTTGGTTATTCTTGGCTTAGGTAACCTCCTAATTAACCAGTAATCAATACAAAGTTCACAATTGTTGAGGACTTAATGTGTATATTTTCCCTCACTTCGTGACCAGGGTCTCATGACATAGTAAAGCTACGCGAAAAAAAAGAAAAGCACATTTGGTCAGTCAAAATCATGGATGAACTTCTTAAACGAGCTTCTACCAATGAGTACGAAAATAGTGGAGAGAGTCCCCAACGTTTTATGTCGCATAAACGCGATGTAGAAATTCCTTTCTCAGTTCCTGATGCAGGAGATATTTCCAAGCCGGGTGATGATCAGACACCCCAAACTAGCGATGGAGCGGATAGAAAAAAGGGCACCAATGGAAATGGTAACCAATTGTTGCTTTTTCTCTCTACGAACCACTCCTTGTAAAATCTTATTTATTTAAATTTTGTGTTAAAATACAGTTAGTCACCCCTATCTTTGCCGATTTTTCATTTAATAATTGAAACCTTTTGTTCCTTTTTGTTTCGATTTAGGCATTATGTCTACCTCTATCCACTGAAGTGCAAAAAAATTCCGTCCGTGCAATATTTCTATCGTCTAACTAGGCAAAATTATGTCTTGGACATTCATTATTTTCATTGAAACCTAGTTGGGGGCCATGCAGGTTACAAAAATAAGATGCAGGAAATTGAAAAGGGGGAGACAGCACTACTTGTTGCTGCAAAGAATGGTGTGGTCGAGATGGTGGAAAAGATTATTAAACTTTTTCCAGTGGCTATAAACGACATGAACACAAGCAAGAAGAACATAGTATTGTTGGCGGTGGAAAATAGGCAGCCTCGTGTTTACAGGTTTTTACTCGAAAAGACTACAATAAAAGAAGACATTTTTCGGAAGGTAGACATCGATGGGAATAGTGCTTTGCATCTTGCTGCGAAGCTGGGAGATCATCGGCCTTGGCTTATACCTGGTTCTGCATTGCAGATGCAATGGGAAATCAAGTGGTACAAGGTATGATTTTTTTATTTTTGCAATCTTGCTTGGTGTACAATGATTAGGACATTGTAAAATTTATAACTTCTCACATTAGGGTGGGGCCCACCATTTAATTAATTAATGGCCCCACCCTAATGTGAAAGGTTATAAAAATTACAATGACTTAAAATAAATCATTTGTACAATGATATCATTGTACAAATGGATTTTTCCTTTTTTGTTGAAGGGTAATGCTATGTCACGAGTTCACATGGCAGTGAAACTCAACACTCCATAAATGGCGATCAATTATATTTTTACTACTTTCTTGGGACACAAATAGCTATTTGTTTTGATTGTAACGCAGTTCGTCAAGGAATCCATGCCATTGCACTTCTTTGTACGTCAAAACAAGGACAACAAGACCGCAAGGGAGATATTCACTGAAAGTCACAATGAACTCGTCAAGAGTGGCCTCGAATGGCTCTCCAACACCTCCAAGTCATGCTCAGTTGTGGCAGCCCTCATAGCCACAGTCGCTTTTGCCACTTCTACCAACTTCCCGGGTGGCTTCAAGGAAGAAAGCAACAAACCCACCTTCGCAAACGAGCCTGCATTTAATGCATTTTCCATAGCATCCCTTGTTGCACTCTATTTCTCTGTTACATCGCTGGTCATGTTCCTCGCCATACTCACCTCCAGGTATTATTGAATCATCTGATCTAAAAATTCAACTCATTACACACTATACATATGCCACCCAAACTTTTATTTATTTATTTTCACCAAGAGTCCAGACGAGATTTGATCTGAATACCTTTGCGTGTGCTGTAATATTATATAAAACCACATCATTTTAAACAAAATAAGTTGTTACAGAAACAAAACATTTATTTATTAAAGCCCTGTTTGTTTCGGATTAAAATCAGATTTTAATCTAAGTAAAAGTCAAACAATTAATATTATTCACATCTTTTATGAGTCCCACAACTTTTCAACGACATATTTCAAATACTTTTATTACAATCTACTAAAAATCTAATTGCAATCCCTACAAAATACTCAATTTTCAACAGGTACCAAGAAAAAGACTTCGCCAAGGACTTGCCAGCAAAACTTTTGGTGGGATTGACGACTCTTTTCGTGTCTATTGCTTCTATTTTGGTATCTTTTTGCGCCGGCCACTTTTTTGTGCTTAAAGATGAGCTGAAATATTTCGCATTCCTGGTATACGGCATCACATGTCTACCGGTGACATTTTTCGCCATAGCACAATTTCCATTATACTTTGATCTTATACGGGCTATAGTTAGGAAGGTGCCTCAACGTAGCTACAAATAGAGTTCTTTGTTGTAAAATTTTAACCTTTTTGAATTGAATAGAATTGAATAATGATATTGGCGAGACCAAGTGTGTGATGTTTTTTACAATTAAAATGGATGAGTGAGTGCCTTTTTTACCATGTATGCCTTCTTTACAATAAAATAAATTAAAATTGAATGACCTCTTGTTCTTTTACGATTTTATCCAAAAAGAAACAGTTGGGTGGTACCACCGTAATTATAAAATAGTTTGGGGACAGGATAGTAAAAAATGACAGGACAACTACGTGGCGACTTGGGGTGGTTGCAGTCTGGTCTCCCCCCGCAACTTCCCATTAATCCAGAGGTTAAAAATTTATCCCACAGACGCGACGCGGCCTTACGTCCCAAACACACACAAAACAGCAGCCCACTCTTCCACTGTTACTCTAGCTAACTCAGCAATAATTGACGACAAAAATCCCCAATATTTAAAAAATCTTAAATCATCGATCTTACTACAATTGGGTAAATTGATGTCACCATGTTACCGGAAGATACTATCCCCAAGTCACCTCTTGATAAGCCGCTTCAGCAGCTCACAGAAGAAGACATTTCTCCGATTACCCGTGAGGACTGCCGCCGTTACCTCAAGGAGAAAGGTAATGCTTTTGATTGACACCAGACCATAATTTAAGCAAAGAATGAAGGCTGAATTGAAAATAAGAAAAGAATTTAGGAGATACTTGATGATATATGTTTTGACTACGAATTTGTTTGGGTGTAGGGATGAGGAGGCTGTCGTCGAACAAATTGCAGGCGATTCAGCAAGTGATAATGCACAAGAGGCTACTTGAAACGACGACGTCAGATGCTGAAGCTGAGGCTTGCAAAAAGCTCTACCTTCCCCACCCTAATAATGAGTACGATGATAATCCGCAGGGCGTGAGTACTAATAATTTTTTTTGTTATCGTTGTTTACATTAAAAAAGGGATAAAAGATTCACTGCGGGTTCTGCCTTGAAATTTGCGACACGTGTATTACAAGTTAGTTATCACATTGATTATGTAAATGTAGGTTCCTGAGGGAACACTTTAATCAGCAGGGGAGAAGCTGCCATTTATGAGAAAGGATCTGGGGAAACCTGATTCTCCTGGTGATCTGTGTGGGAGCTTGGTTTCTGCCAACAATGAATCTGCCCCTCCTAGGCAGGGGCGAATTCAGACTTATAGTTCAGCTAGGGCGGCGAATGTTGACCCGTGACCGTTGACTGAGGACAATCAACGATCGAAATAGTCGAAAATATAATTCATTACATATGTAAATGAACTAAAACATAAAAAGTATATACATATGAAAATATAATTCATTACAACCCAAAATACTAAAATAAAATACAGTCATATTCTGTAACTATAAACTTAGACAACTGCATTCTACGAGGTCTCAAATTTTGAAAACGTTGCAATATTGCCTCATTCACAAGTTTTATAAAAACATATTTTCTACGTAAACAATCAAATTGTCATTCAATCATCTCCCATTTTGTTGTGCAAGTCACTCGTAATTTTTAACCAAACTTTCTCCAAATATTTACAATTCCAAAATACATTTTTCCCCAAAACATAGTTTAATGGAGCACAAACAGGGGCACATTAAATTGCAGATATAAAACAAGAATAAGAAAAGAAACTTCTCAAAGATTGAACTAAAACATTAAAACTTTAAGCATAGAAACAAGTCGCTTACAAAATCTGTGAAGATGAGACACATAAGGAAAATATCTCCATAAGCCCAAGTAAGAGGCTTACAAATTCTCCCAAATCTCTCGCTTTTTATCCCACATCGTGATGCCAATACAGTGGCACGCATGAGAATGTAAATCGCTAGGCTTGTGTGCTGTGTATTCAACCCAGCCAGCAAAGACCTCCATTTGACAGTCCTAAAATTTAAAAAACTTCAGCAACCACACCAATTTATGGAATCAAAATACACAAATTTAACACAAGTAACAAAAGAAATATCTAACAAAAATGAGCAAATCTGGCCAAATTTTGATTCACAAAATAAAAAGGAAAAACAAAACAATAGATCAAATAAAAAAAAGTAAAGAGAAAACCGAGGAGGGGTAAAGATTATGCCTACAGTGACCTCCCAAAGCAGCTATAGTTTCATCCACTGTCAAAGAGCAAGTCCGCTGTGTCCGCACCTCCGCAGCGTTCAGGTCGTCTCCCCCCGTTTCCAATTTTGGAATTGGATTAGGTTTTGTGGCTAATGAGTAATTAACCCATAAATCCATTCATTTGGTGGACCAATAACCATGGATTGGGCCCATTCATTGAAAAGGCCCAAACAATAGGAAAAAAAATTTCAGGCCCCATTCTTGGCAGGCAGTGGCACAGCAGTGTCTTCTTCATTTCTGGTTTTCTTCCCGGCGGTCGACGGTCGGCTTACGGCGACCTGAAGCCCCTGGCAGATCCAGCACGGACGGCTGCGGGGGCTGGCCAGGTGCTGGATCTGCCCCTGCTCCTAGGTGATTTTTTGTTTTTCAGTCTTTTAGTCAATTATAAACACATACTCAAATATCTTAATATATTATTACTTAATATTGTACTCCCGTTACCAGTTACACTTGTTAGAGTTGCCTTTTTTTTTTTTTTTTTT